TCTGCCGGCAATTTTCAGAATCGATCAAAAATTGCATAGATTCACTTTCCGATGTTACTCAGAAGAAGCGTACAGGTTTGTAGGAACATTTGGTTGATTGGTTTGGGTGTTCATAACTGAGTCAAGCTTATCAAAAAATAGCTACACCGTCGTACTATGACAACTACTTTGTTTTCAGCTTTCGTCAGTGTTGACACGAAGGTAGTTTGTACTGAATAAAGTGTCTCTCTTTCGGTTCTGCAGCGACATAGAGGAAATGAGGCATTTGGTTAGTCTGTTACAGGAGTGCTTATTGAACTCGATTTTTCCAGCTTATGAGTAATCCATTTTTTCCTTATCGAAAGAACAGCAAAAGTACTTATGGAGATTAGAGCTTATGGAGTTTGCTGTAAAATGGTGAATTTTCTATCATCCACCGATGGTCTAGGTGGCATATCAGGAAGTGATAGAGAGCAACATACACTTGACGATTGCTTATCGTTCATCATGTAGCGATACTGTCACTCCCGGTTGTATTTGCGTGATTTCATCACTTGCAAATAAATTACTACTTTTAGATCTTCTTACTTTGTAAACACTTTTTACGTCTGTTTCTGTCCTCAGATAATCTAAAGTGCAAAAGTGATGATTTTATTTGCAGTTTTTACATTTACTGTTATTTCACGCCTTGTTTTATAACGAACAAATTTTCTATCAATAACAACCGTCACTGCTCAAACCAATAAGCTGAGACATTTGCCTGAATGTTGTAAAGTTAAGTAGCAGTAGAGGAGGTTGCATGTGTAACATAACTGACCAAAATGATTCTATCAATGTCATCTCGCAATTGACACTTTTCATTACTTTTAAATGTTTTGTATTTTTAGGAGGAAATCATGGAGGCACTTAACTCGCAGTCTGGCAAACGTGTCAATTTCAGCCAGTCGGTATCGTCGGTGAACGTCGCTCCGATCAGCTCATGTGAGGAAGTTTCCTACGGCGGCCACCACTATCCGAGGCCGAAGCCTCGAAAACGAAACAGCATCAAAAAACGCCGTTCGAAAACAGTCGGCTTTGTGCACGACTTTGCAGCGACCAGTTCCCCTCAGCTGCTGTGCGGCGACAATGACAACAACGATGAGCTGACGGGGGTAAACCGGCATCTGAGTGTTAGCGATGTGTCCAGCCAGAACGACCGATACCCAGCGACGGCAAACATCGCCAGTATGGGTTTACGCTGTCAATCCGACTGTACATTGGTGTCGAAGCAGGGGGTCAGTAAAAATAACGATGCTCAGGCATTTCGCCGGCTGACCACTCATCTGCCAGTCGCAGCTTCGCTCAACGGATGCGATCGTCGGAACGAAGCCAGGGCCGATCCTACGTGTTCCATACCGACCACTACTGGCAGCAAAACGTCTTTGTCATTCGACGACATCAGGTGGAAGTTTGAAAAAGCTTGTGCCGAGCTGAACCAGATCGACGAATATCTGGGTACGCATTGTTCGTTTACGATCTGGTAAATTGGCGTGTTGAGATGATTTTGCCGGAAAGAATGCGCCGAATACAATGCCAAAATGTGCGTCGCTGAGGCGTATTTGACGTGGAGATTCAGTTTAGACTATTTCGATAGAGGAAATGGTTGTTTTTTGAGAATTTGATCCATACATCATCCCTGTCCACAGCGTAGATGATCGATACTAGGTAAAGCTCTAGTCATCACTGCCAACAAGTGTGTCGTTTAGTCCTTGCTTGACACAGAATATAAAATAAAATATGTATCACCTATGAAGGAAGTGCAGTTCGAACCAAGTGAAGTAGTAATAGCCATGTGAAATGGGTGAGACCGAGGCGAGACTCTAACCCAGGTTGTCAGTCGATTATTTATTTCTTGGACCTGTTCTTTGGCGGTTGAGCAGAAAGCTCGTTTTGAACGAGAAATAACCATGAGATGACGATGGTATTGCCAAAATGCAGTCCTTGATGTGCTTACGAATGTTCCACACCACATTTTTACGAAGCATCTGTAAATCTAGCCGTCTAAGAACCAATTTTGCTTGACGACTGCTTCAGAGAAGATGTTTTTTGAGAGGTTTCTGGACTTTTCGCCTTATTTTGATAAAGTCACACCAGACTCTTTAACAAATACCCAACATATGATTATAATCAAAGTTATAACACTTATTTTCAATCGGTCATTTGTTGTCTGTTTACTATTCGTCTGGTATGCGTATAAAATGAGTATTTTTTTTGTTCACGGTTACTGTTTCTGTACGCAGGACGTCGAAACTATTTTAGGTTGTTTTATTTCAATCGGCTTTAAAACCATTGTTGCAGAAGGGGCATGTAATTAGCAGTAGCATGTGTAAGGAAATTCATACCCAGCATGTTGACCTTGATGTGAATGAAGTGTGCTTGACGAGCAGGACTTTAAAAACAAAATATTTTTACAACTCCAGTCGTCGAATAGTGCTTTTAAACCAAGGTAGATGATTTTACTTACAAAACTGATAATTGCTCAAGGTCAGATGTAGGGCAGGAGTGAAGTTGAAAGAGTAAAATGCGCTAATTTGCGTAAACAAATTCCTGCGCACTTAAGAGACTTACCGTAATCTTTAGACGTGCAATTTGGAGGTCGTAACTGTGAGATGTCTGTGTCCATTTTTAAAAATTTTCTTTTGTGTTGC